CAGATGATCCCTTCAGGACCAGTGGTGTGAGTGGTGATATTAGGTGGGTAGAAGGAGGGTGGGTTGGAAAGGGGGAACTGATTACAAGGACCTACATGTGACCTCCTCCCTGGTAGATGGACATCAGAAAAGTGGGTGAAGGGAGAAATCAGACAGGGCAAGATATGGCAAAATAATAATTTATAAATCATCAAGGGTTCATGATGGAGGGGGAAAGGGGAGTTAGGGGAAAAAATGAGGAGCCGATGCCAGGGGCTTAAGTGGAGAGTAAATGTTTTGAGAATGATGATGGCAATGAATGTACAAATGTGCTTTACACAATTGATGTATGTATGGATTGTGATAAGAGTTGTATGAGCCCCTAATAAAATGATTTTAAAAAGAAACTTATAAGTTAAGATAATTTAAAGTGCGAAGATGTGCATTGCTTTAATTGTCCATGACCAAGAGAAAGCCTATCTTTGTATAGTGGTTTATTTACATTTTAAAAATAGATGTAGGTTAAAATAACATAACTACTTTTAATTCAATAGCAACATCAGTCAAGAAAATGCTACTTCAATTGGATTAAAGATATATATGCATCCAATGCACCTGTCAAACATCATTCTCTCTCTTCATTATTCATTAAATCATCTCATTACTGAATGCAGGAGAGGTTTATAGTGAAATATTTTGGGGGAAAGGATTTTGCAGTGTGATATTAGAAATGATATGATACATTGTTATTCTCCTTTACTTTTGAAAAGCAAACTTTTCAAGAATGTTTACTGAAGAAATCCTTACTAAAGGAAAGAAACAATGGCTAGAAAACGATTCCCCACTGCTCTTGAAGAAAATGTGTAAGAGAAGAAAGTAGTCTCTGTAGCCTCAAGCAAAACCAGGAGCTAGAAAAACTAAGGATTGATTCTGATTTTTGAACACCTGATTTACCTCCTAACATGAAAATCTCTTTCAAATAGCAACCTGTATGGTGATTACAAGTCAGATACTAAAAAATTGTCCTGTGCTTTTGAAAACGTTGGAACACTTTATTCATATTTATGCAAAGTAAAGGCAAAATACAAATAGTAAAAAATTTTCTCACTTTCCAGAAACTGATCTTTCAGTAGTGTCAAACATTTTAATTATGCTCTCAATCCATAAATAAGCATTAAAATCTCTAAATGCCAAATGTTAATAATATACAATGTAAAGTAAGCATTTAGTCAGGGTTAGAGGCAAAAGAAATATCTTGTTTTAAATGGGTGCATAAGCAAATGTGGTAAAGAAAGCTGATGGTGCCAGGGGCTATCAACAGATATAGCATCTGGGTTCTTAAAGGCTTGATGATAAATAAGTGGCCATCTAGCTCAGAAGCAGCAAAGCCCACATGGAAGAAGCACACTAGCCTGTGTGATCATGAGGTGTCAATGGGATCAGGTATCAACTATCAAAGACCCCAAACAAAAAATCATATCGATGTTAGTGAAGTGTGGGGGCATGTGGAGTGGAGAACCAAAGCCTATCTGTAGACATTGGACTTTCCCTTACAGAAAGGTCACGAGGAAGAGACAAGTCAGTCGGTGCAGTATAGCACCGATGAAACACACAACTTTCCTCTAGTTCTTTAATACTTCCTCCCTCCCACTGTCATGATCTCAATTCTACCTTACAAATCTGACTAGATCAGAGCATGTACACTGCTACAGAGAAGAGATCACAACACAGGGAATCCAGGAAAGATAAACCCCTCAAGACCAACAATGAAAATAGAGATACCAGGAATATAAGGGGATGGTACGGGGAGGAAGGGGGAGTCTACCACAATGATTGACATATAACCCCTTACTAGGGGGAGCAGCATGGTGTAAGACATGGGGGGTGGAATTATAAATTATCAAGGGTTGATTAGAGAGTCAGGGTGGGAGGGGAGGAATTGAGGAGCTGATATCAAGGACTCAAGTAGAAAGAAAATGTTTTGAAAATGATGATGGCAACAAATGCACAGATGTGCTTGACACAATGGATGGATGTGTGGATTATGATAAGAGTTCTAAGAGCCTCCCATAAAATGATTTTTAAAAAAAGAAATATTTTTGTTTGATTATTTCTGCTAAATTAGTTTGATGATGTCTCGACATCAATTTTATAAGATAAAATCATAGATGAATTTTTAAATCTAAAACAAACTATAAATTCTATTAAAAAGTATTTCTTAACTGGAAAATATTAGCATATATTTGAAAACATTTTAAAAACTATAAAGTGATACTCAATGGTGAGTTGACAAATATTGTTTCTAGGCAAATGTGACGTTATTGTATTTTTGCATTAGAAATATACATTTTAAATGTCAAATATTGTGATGTTTTATTAAGGTTTTTTTATGCTAAATATACAAATACCACAATTCCTTAACTAACACAAAAAATAAATCCTAGATACTATTAGTATTTTTTCTAAAAATAGAAATATGTTAATATCAAGAGAAGACCCACTTAAAATTCAAAACAATAATTACCTTGGTAGACAAAGTGGAACCCCCTGGCAGATGCTCCACTTTTTGCACTGAACCGGAGCAGAATTTGATTTGATGTAGCCAAAGGCAGTGTTTCGCCTAGATGAAAAAACAGAGATAAGAGGAGGAACCTAGAAAATACATAGCACTCTGGTGAATCATATTTTGGAAATAATAATTTTATATTTAATAAAGTGTTATATATCTATTAGGCAATTACATAGAGATATAAGTTGGTCTGAAGTTACGGAAGCTGAGAAAAGGGTGCAATTGGAATACTGCTTAATGATCACTTTCTTTCTATTTGGTATGATGACCTCTTTTTGGAGCTAAACATGGCAAAATGCTGTGAAGGGAATTAATGTCATTGAACTGTTAACTTAAAATAATCAAAATGATAACTGCTGTGTTCCTATACTCTCCCAGAATAAAATAAAATGAAAATTTGAATTAAGAAAAGAGTTCATTTTGTTATGTTGGTGCCAAGCATATACTTTCTATAAAGATTTTAAAATCCTACACTGACACTTTCTGTTAATGTTATATTTAAGATATTAACTCATTTATGCTTTCTCTTGGCAATAGACCTAATCGCAGTTAACATAGAAAATTTAAATATTGGATAAATCATTGAATTAGGAGCATTTTAATTGGATAATTAGATGATTAAATTTATTTAAAATAATGTTTCTGAACTCAAATGACCAAGAGATTAAGAAAACAGATTAACATTTTAGTTTACAGATATAACATAAGCAGAGTGGCCTCTTCTAAGTACAGCTGAAAAGGGTGTGAATTGGCATAAACTTTTAAATGTGCATTTGTCTACATGAGACAGCATTTTAAGTGTCCACAATATCAAGCACTTCTAGGAGTACATGGGAAAATTAGTAAGAAACAAGATGCATCTAAATATATTTGGTTTATGTTTGTGAACACTGGAAATAACTTCATTGCCTACAAAAAATGTAGCTAATTGTACTGCATTTAGTAAATGATGAGAATGTAACAATATTATTATCAGTGGATTAGATACACTAAGAAAATTGGGCTTCTATTGGACGATTATGTAAGTGTACTGTAGCACGAATAAAAGACTAGTACAACAAGGAGGGACGGGCTTCCATAACCGGGTGCCCTATTAATGCAATCGATGACTCCTTGCTCTATCTTCATGTTTCTCTTTTAATTTGGGAAAAACCTCTAAACATCATTTTAAGCAAAAGTTTAGGATAAAAGAAGCTGATAATGCATAACTTGTGTCATCAAGTCTTATACAGTCATGAATGTACACATGTAAAGGTACACTATAATCACATATGTTTAGTACATTTTTCAAAACTAAGGTGCCCACATAAGCAGTAAGCATATGCATATACCACACAGTTAACCATGTGTAAGAGAGTTGTATAGTATATATATTTTCATTAAAGTACATATGAAAAAATTAAAAAGCAATTAATTATAAAATTAATTAATAGTCCTTACATCTGGAAGGAAGATTAAACAAAATAGAAAATAAAAACCCAAATATATTTAATGATGCACATTTTTTCTGGCATTTGTGTTTTTTATTCGAATGAAATAATATTTTCCATATTCTTAGTATGTAAATTAATACAGGCAAGTGGTTTTGTATGTGAGATAAAACTATTTTTGAAATCTTACTTTTAAAATAAGATTTTAACGGAACAAATTCAAGGTGATTAAACTTTTAATACATTACAAAAATAAAAGTTTAAAGTTAATCACCCAAGCTCTGTAGATGGAATTAAAGCCAACATTCTTTGAAAGCTTACCTGAGTGAGATCCAGAGAGTGAACTGAGAAGCCGGGCCTGTGCATGTGTTCCATCGAATAACTCCGCCAAGTCATCCAGTGCCGTCTGAAAATAGGCAAACTGTCCAAACACCACTGAAAAATAAAGCGTAGATTGGGTGGCACCTATGCTTTCTTTAAAAACATGGTGGAGATGTTATTTATATTACTTATTTGTTGATTCCTGAAGGATCATGATTCTAAAATATGTGCAATAAAAAATAATTTAATTATTCTGCTTTTTCCAAGTTTTCAATAAATCAAATTATTTTATTTTTCTTATTATTTTACACATAGAAAAATGAATAAACTATATTTCTCTATATTATTTGAACAGTAAGACATGAGTGTGTTTTTTAATGAATGAATGAATGAATATAATGGAAAGCTACAGTATTCATTTGTTTGAGAGGGCTGAAAGACCTTTTAGTCAATGAACAACAAACCTAGGGCTGAACCTTCTGTTGGCCTTTGAAGTAGGGTTAAGTTCAAGTGTTGAGGAATTTTCAATGACTCTCAAATCATTATTTTAATGCTGAGTCTATATGAACATATAAAGTCAGCTTTATAATAATATGAATTCATATGAATGAGCACTCATTACAGTGTCTACATATGACTCAGCATTATGTTCTAAGAATTGTTTATTTTTACACCATTGTGAAATTTTATTTTATGAATTATAAGTTACAAATATATTTTCATGCCTACCCCCTGTAGAACATCAGACCATTGGCTACTTTGAATTTAATCAATGTGTTTTCAAAACAGACCTTAGTAGGTTATGCACCGGCTACTAACCACAGTGTTAAAAGTTCAAACCCACTTGTTGCTTCCACAAAAAACTACAGCTTCAAGAGCCACAGGTATAATCTGCTCTGCCCAGAAGGTTGCTATGAGCCACAATCGACCGAAAGGCAGTGAAGTTTTATATTTACAACACTCTCCTTATTTACCTGTGAGAGTTCAACAAGATTTGTTCCTCATCATTTTGAACCACAAATGCAAGTATGTATTTTAGTTTCACATGTCAGAATTATAACAATGAATTAATGTAAATGAGCCCAGGCAGATTTGAGGGAACTTTATAAATAGTGTGCATATTTATATCTATAGAGGTACATGTAAACACATGAGAATATGTGTACATATATCTTGTACACTAAATTCTTACAATTTCTTAAAAAAAGAGAGGCACAAATTGATCAATGTTTCAATGGGTGAAGGAAGAAGAGGCTATGCTTTGCGGGCACGGAGTTTATGCTAATGGTGGGGCAGTTATTTGGAGAATGATGTCAATGATGGTTGTGCAACATAGAGAGTGTAAGCATACGTGCTAAACCATACATGTGAAATTTGTTGAGTTTGAGAATATTTCGTTGCATATTTTTCTACAATTTAAAAAATAATTACACTAATAAAAATGAGTACCAGGAAGAAGACAATGTTCTAAAATTGATTATGGTAATGATTGTACAACTCTACTTAATAGGATTGAGCTATTGAATTATATGATATGTGGAAGAAGTGCCAATAACATTGTTTAAAAAAGAGAGGAAAAGTAATTCTGAAAATGTCCACAAGTTGGATTTTCCCAGTAGACAAAATAGTCTAAGCACCTGGTTTTATCATGAATTATAGAGAGGACCTTATAATATCTGCAGTGCTCTGTTCAAACCTGAAAATTAATACAATTCATACAATTGCTAACATGTTGGAGATTGAATTTGGGGGATGTTTAATTAGTACAAAATTTAATCATATATAAATCCTATTTTCATTTTAAAAATTTAGTAAGCGTCGATTTTATGCTAGAACATAAGGCTAAAGAAATAAAAAATATACAACTTTTTCCTCAAAACACTATCACCCTCTAAAGTGTGCAGCAGCTCAGGAATTTCCACAATAAATACAGATTTAGAATGCAAAGATAATTTAAAAGTACATCTAAGAATATTAAAAGTGAACAGCAAACACATTCTGTAGCTAGTCACTGAAGCCTCCTTGAGAGACATTGAGACTTAATCATGACCGATAATCAAATGAGGGAACACTTACTTGTATAAGGATGATAATGCTACAGGGTAAAGTAGTGAGGATGTGACAATGTCAAATAAAGGGCATACCAGTAGATTAGGTATGGTTATTTCTATCCATGGCAAAAGTGAATGCTTTATGTAGGAGATAGTGAGAAAACTAGCTTTTTTACTGATGAAAATTTTAATGTTTTGGTGTCATTTATAAAATTGGATAGACTGGAACATATACACTGATACAGGTAAGAGCTGTCAACACCGGAAATCCAGGAGAGATAAACCCCCCAGGAACAATAATGAGAGTAGCAATACCAGGAGAGTAGGGAGAAAGTGGAGTGGGGGGTGGGACAATCACATCATTGATGTATAACCACCCACCCCCCCAAGGAGGATGAACAACAGAAATGTGGATGAAGGGAGCTAGCGGTCTGTGTAAAATATAAAAATAATAATGATTTATAAATTATCAAGGATTCATGAGAGAGTGGGGGGGAGGGAGGAAAAAAATGAGAGGCTGATACCAAGGGTGCAAGTTGAAAGAAAATATTTTGAAAAGGTTGATGACAACATATGTACAAATGTGCTTAAAACAATGGATGGACATATGGATGTGATAAGAGCTTTAAGAGGCCATGATAAAATCAGACTGAAACTCACACACTATGTTCTACTGACAAAGGGGCCAGTGAAAAGGCATTTAAATAAGATAAGATGAACTGATTTTTGCTTTTGAAAGAATACTTTATCAGTACTTTATGAAAATAAAAATATAATAAGAATTTCTAAAGATCTGTATTGAACTAGAATCTTGGGTGACACTGTGGGAAATGCATTGAGCTCCTAATTTCAAGAGGACCATTCAAATTCTTTAGCCACTCTGTGTAAAAAGATGAGATTATGTAATTTCCTAATATAGGTTGGCTATGAGTAAGAATAGAAATCCTAAATATAGGTTGGCTATGAGTAAGAATCAAATTGATGGCAGCGGGTTTGTTTGGGTTTTTTTGTCCATCGATGAGAAGCCCTGGTCATGTAATAGGTTAAGCATTGAGCTCCCCTATGCATGCTACCAGGCCCTCCTCAAAGGAAAGAGGAGGCTGCCTACTCCTATAAATCCTGTAAAGAATCATAGTCTCTAAGCAGAGAAGTCTCAGAGCAATGATCCCAAGTGGGTCCTAGATGTGTTGAAGGAAGATCTAGTCTGTTCTCGGCAACTGGAGATGAAGGATGACCATTTACACATCCCTGACATCACAAGTCTTCTGACTGGCTGTGGCCCACACATCATTCACCTGCCTTCAAACTGCTTTGTAGCTCTGAGTCCAGTCCCCGCCCTCTTTGTGAAGTGGGTTCTTGGTCTCAGAGAGCACATTCAACAAGATTTCCAGAAGATGGAGCCAGGAGGGACACTGTGGCTGTGGACTTTTCCCAGGAAGAGTGGCTATTGTTAGGTCTTTCTCAGAAGAAACTATGCACATCCATGTGATGATGGAAACATCCAGGAAGCATCCTGCCTTCTGTAGTTTCTCAAAATCCTGATGTCAGAGAAAAGCTATCCACGGAAAAGACAATAGCACAATGCATGAAAAAACGGCACCTGGTCCTCCAAGGTGGGGGCAATCTGTGAATCCCATGTCATTGAAGGTCAGAACACATATGTCAAACTATTCACATCCCTTGACTATAATCAGAGGCGATTAGTGGAGGTTTAATCCACGTGTGGATTGGGCTACAATTATCATCCATAACCACCTACAAACCTGGTGTCCGCAATTTAAGCTCTCATACCATTCCCTCCTATGGATTTAGATTTGGAATTTTTTATTAGTTTATATTTCACTTGGATAGCTTCTTGTAGGAAGATAAGCCTTTAAGAACTCAGACACCATTTTTCCTGGTAGCAGGGCACCTTCTGGCTTCTTCACAACACTTTGCTAGAGCACCTATATCTTCAGGGATCTCTTTATGAGGGTGAACATCAAGCAGGGCCATGTCATAAGAATTAATGGCTCTTATCATACCCAACCAGTAGGGCAGAGGAAAACTGCCCCTATGAGTTGCTGAGACTCTTAACAGTTTACAGGACGAGTAAACCCAGTCTTTCTCCTGCAAAGTAACTGGTGGTTCCCAACTGTGGCCCTTCTGAATCCAAGCCTTACATGTACCTGTGATGGTACCAGGACGCCACGGGTCCCTATGAGTTGACATCGACTCAATGGCAGCAAGTTTTATTTTTTAACATTTCCTTAGAATTGTTCCTAGATTGGAGGTAGAATTCAGTGTCAGCACAAAATCAATTTATGTCTTTTACATATGTCTCTGCTTCACCCTAGAGACATTGCCGTCATTTGATGTCCTCACTCTGGGACACAAGGTCAAGCTGGTTTTTGACAGTTTTGTTGGTGCTTCATCCACATGTCATACTATCAGCGGTTTGGTCGTATGTGGAACAGCTGTACGACCATTCTTCCTCAGCTCATTACTGTTCCTGTAATTATCTTTTTCAATTGTGATAAAAATATACACAACAAAATATTCTCCAATTAACAAAAACAACAAGGAGTATTGTCTCTGTCGCAGAGAACTCCTTTGAGTCAGAACGGACACGAAGATGGTGGTGTCAGTGTGTTCTCTCCATGACTGTTGTTTTGAAAGTTAGGAAAAAACCTGGACATTGCAGGATTTTTTGTTTTAATGTTGCAATAAAAATATGTTCAATAAAACTTTAAAAGTTACTATCTATTGCACTCCATAAAATAGTTTTACAGAAGTTTCACAGGGGCAGAAATGTAAATGGCCAATAAACATATGAGAAAATGTTCCCGATCTTTAGCCATAAGAGAAATGCAAATTAAAATGAGTACCACCTAACACCCTCAAAGATAGCCCAATTCAAAAAATCAGAAAGCAACAAGTGTTGGAGGGGTTGTGGTGAGATAGGAACTCTCATTCACTGCTGGTGGACCTGTAGGTATATACAACCACTATGGAAATCAATCTGGCGATATCTAAAACAGATGGAAATCGAGTTACCAAATGACCCAGCAATTCCCCTACTGGGCATATACCCAGAAGAGGCAAGAAACAAACCAGGGCCAGATATCTGTGCTCCAATGTTCATTGTGGCACAGTTCACAATTGCAAGGAGTTGGAAGCAACCCAAATTCCCATCAACTGAAGAGTGAATTTTTAAAATGTGGTACATACATACAATGGAATACTATATATCGCTAAAAAGCAATGATGAACGTATGAAGCACATCACCAAATGGGAAGACCTGGAGGAAATCATGCTAAGCAGAGTAAGCCAAGCACAAAAGGACAAGTATAACATGAGGCCGCTGAGGCAAGCTTAAAAAAAAATGCAAAAGGGGCATAGGGAAAAAGCTACTGTATACAAACATTCCTGGGGTGAGGACCAGGTAGTATGGCAGGGGCCAGACCAAATCCAGGGATACATATGGTAGCCAACTAAAAATGAGGGGGGAAAAGGAAAAATAAAAAAGAAATGGGTAGCGAGGGATCACGGCACTAACCCGCCAAAGGGGAGGGTATTATTTATATTTCCACAGGGAAAGAGGGACCAGACTTCAACCCGGTGCTCCAAGATGTGAATGAACATGCCAGCATGGAGTAGGGAACCAGTGGAGAGATCTGAGGGGCCGGCCCCAATCCCAACTACATATACAGCTACCCCTACCCCTAGGATAATTTATTTCAGAGGACAGCACTGAAGCTGCAACTCAGGGATGGGGACATGTCTGATCAGAACACACGAGAGCAAATGAAGGGGGAGAAAGAGAGAGTGGAACACACCCTGGCCCACTAAGTGTTGAGGATGATATTCTTGCTAAGAGCAGCCAATCCACAGAGAAGACCATATGGCCAGCCCCACTATGAGACAGGACATCCCTCACTGACCCTTACCCCTACAAGGGACAACACTGGAGACACAGTGTGAGAACTGCACCCGATCTGATCCCACCACACCAAGGCAAAACACTAAGGGCGTGCAACAGAACAGTAAGGGGTACAGAGTAACAAAGTCCCCAGGTAATACCAAAATTAGACTTTGGGGTCAGGGCTTGGCACCCCATCAGACTCAACAGGAAAGTACTTCAAAAAGCCAACAAACAGTCCTTGAACTAACTACAGGCTTTTCTTTGTTGTTTTTGTTGTTCTGTCATTGGATTTTTGTTGATATTTTGTTTTCTTTTGTTGCTTGGTTTTACTCTGTCTTGTTTTTGTGCATGTTATTATCTC